TCATACAGGAACTACAAACACAACAGGAAATCATTCATTCAATAACAAAAAGAGGTTATATAAATCTTGCAGCGGGTTCGGATAGATGGGGAATGAATAGATATGATATCACAACTGACCCAGTAGATTCAAGCACAGGTATTTTCTGTGGAACCGCAGGAAATCATTCACACACTTTCACAACAAATCCAACAGGCTCGGGTAAAGATTACATGCCACCATTTGTGACTGTATTCGCATGGTACCGCGTTCATTGAATGTGCTTGAGACTTGACCCAAAGGGTTTAGGCTTACCGAATGAACTAAATATATTTTATGTCTGTAATTAATTAGGTAATGAAGTAATTAATTATTTTTGAAGAACTGATGAGGTCACCAGGTCACCGGGTCACCAGGTTATTTAACTTCTCTGAAAAAATGAGACAACATGACATTTTGACAACAACACAGGAAATAAATGTTTACGTTAATGTTTACGTTAATGGTTTCAGGTCATTCAATAATTAATTATTTTTGAAGAACTGATGAGGTCACCAGGTCACCGGGTCACCAGGTTAATGAAATTCTCTGAAAAAATGAGACAACATGACATTTTGACAACAACACAGGAAATTTGATGCAGTCCAAAAATAAAGTTAGTTTTAAAATTATTTTTATTTTTTTATTTTGTATGTAAGAACAGAAATGTCAGTCGAAGCAAAATCATTTACGAACAAATCTAATGGCGAAACATTCACAAAAGGCACTTATAACGGTATTGAAGTCTTACGTAGAGACAAGGATGGTTACATTAATGCAACAAATATGTGTCAGCAGTTTAGGAAAGACTTTAGAAAGTTGTTGGAAAATAAGTCCTGGGAAGAGTATTATAAGGCATTTTGTGAAGAATATAGCAACCGCCGGAATTCAGACTGTTGCTTTTTATACAAAATTCATGCAGGAATTCCTGATGAAATCAAACAAGTTAGAGGAACGTGTAGACCCAAGACTTATAAACTATATAGCAATGTGGGCTTCTCCAAAATATTGCATAGCAGTTGGAAAAATTATGGACTCCATAGACAAGAAAGTTCATGAGAAATTAGATGAAGAAGAACTTGAAGATACAGTAGAGAATGCTAAACCTTTGTTCGAACAAGAAGTTAGAAAAATGCGCGAAAAACAATTAGAACATGAACGTGAGTTATGTTATGGTTATAGAGATTCTCCATTCGAACTAGACCAATGGAACAAGAAGATTTAAAGAGAGAATTTAGAGAATATGAACTCGCTAAGATAGCATTAGAAGCTGCAGAAAAGAAGTTAAAAGCTTGGGGTTGTTTTGTACAAAAATATTGTGAGTAAATGAACCATTTATTTTTGTCATAAAGACGCAACGTGGCGGGGCATAGCCCATGACCAAAAATATATTTTATCGTTAAGTAACTCAAAGAGTCCGGAGACAAAGTCTCATGTTTTCAGGTTATTCAATAATTAATTATTTTTGAATAACTGATGAGGTCACCAGGTCACCGGGTCACCAGGTAATTTAACTTCTCTGAAAAAATGAGACAACATGACATTTAGACAACAACACAGGAGGAAGGCAGTTATGAATTATTTTTGAATAACTGATGAGGTCACCAGGTCACCGGGTCACCAGGTAATTTAACTTCTCTGAAAAAATGAGACAACATGACATTTAGACAACACAGCAGGAAATATGATGCAGCCCAAAAATAAAGTTAGTTTTAAAATTATTTTTATTTTTTTTATTCCTATATAAATGACAGCAACAAACAACAACAGCAACTTTATCGTTTCTGATGAAAAAGTTATTGATTCATTAGCTGAGGAATTAGTTGTGGCAGAAACTAAAACCCTCAACGAAAGAATTGGTGAAAACAAGATTGATTTACATAACTACCTCAAACACGATGGAGGAAGAGGAAGGAAAACTGGTATGGCTTTATTAGTAAATAAAATTTCAAATTTAACGATTATAGATGTTGATATCAATAAATCGTACAATGATGAACTTAAAGAAACAGTTAGAAAAGACATTTTATCAAAACTTTCGGATAAAGATGTTATCGTTAAAACCGCTTCAGGAGGTCTTCACATTTATTGCAACACTAATTTCTTCTATGCAGTTTCGAACAGAATGATTAAATGTTATTCCTGCAATGATTATGATATTGATATCATGACTTCAATGGATGATTCAAAACGTTCTTTAGTGGTTATGGCCGATTCAAGAGTTCGCAAGAATGCATCAGAACCAATCAATACATACTCATTCATTCGTGGAAGTTATGATTCAACATTAACCAGAACAGTGAATGATATATTAAATGATTTGAATATTAAGGTAAGAGTTGAACAGAAGAACGAAGAAATAAAGACTATCATGAATGAAAACAAAGATGTAAACATTGACGATAAACTTGCCCAGAGCATAGTTGATGGCATCAGTGATTTTGAAGTACATAATGACGGTGGAAACATGAATTTAGAAAAAGAAATAATATTATTCACACTGTTTCAAGCTATTAATTCGTTACCTAATCATTTAATTAATGAAGCATACGATAACGTTTATAACTTCTGCAATTTAACAGAAAATGCAAAAAGCAATTTTGAAAAAGCACGTAGTAGATATGCACATTTAATGACTTCTCCATTTGTTTTGGTGAAGATTCTAAAACTTTATCAAAAGGAATATTATGATGAATACGTTTTGCCTTTATTACGTAAGCCAAAAATAACATTTGATATCAAACTTGATGACTCGTTTTTGATAACAGATATTAGACGCAAGGCTGAAAATCATCAGTATAAAAACAGTTCTGAAGTAATTGAGGATTTATCACGTGTAATCCGTTTTGTAGATTGTGGAAACAAATATTTCATTCAGAAAGATTATAATATCCACGATAAAATGAATCAAATATCATTTGTTCTTCAATCAAACATGAAAGAGTCACTTAAAATGATTAAATTATTTAAAGAAGAAGGTAAAACAATAACAGCATGGGACGTACTATTAAATCAATTGTCTTCATTAACTGTTAAGGGTTTTTGCTTTAAATCTGATTCCCCAGATGTTTTCTCAACGTTTCAGGGTTATAAATACAACATTCTCGAAAAAGTAGATTACTCAAAAATTGAGATGTTTATGGATTTCATTAAAGAAGCCATTTGTGATAATAATGATGAAGTGTATAAATACCTACTCGGCTGGATTGCATCAATGATTCAACATCCTGGAATCAAGAATGAAACAGCAATTATTTTGAAAGGACTTCAGGGAACAGGTAAAAACAGATTTACAGACATTATTTCTGAACTCCTCGCTGGTTATTCATGTAAAAACATTACTGAAATAGGTGAGCTAACGGGTAATTTCAATTCAGTAGTTGAGAATAAAATGTTTCTTGTACTTAATGAACTCAAGAATGTTGGTGAAGACAGACTCGCAAACTTCAACGCTTTGAAATCAATTATTACGGATAATGAGATTAGAATTAATGAAAAGAATCAACCCAGAAGAACTGCTCAGAATGTTGCTAATTTCATTTTCGTAACTAACAACGTCTACCCTGTCAAAATTGAAGTTGGAGACAGAAGATACGTAGTTTTAAGGGTTAATGGTAAATTCAAGGGTCAATTTGATTACTTCAAGAATTTGATGGATTCATGCACAAAGGAATTTTATGATAATTTACTGACGTATTTTATGCAATATGACCTTTCATCATTTAATGTACGAATCATACCGATGACTGAAGCCAAACAAGATTTAATAGAATTATCAACAAATCCTTTAGATGTATGGATAAATACACATTATGATGAATTGTGTGCGGGTATGACGTGTAAAAATGCTCTATTCTGCAAACCATCAGACATGAAAGACAAAAACTTTCAAATGAGCATTAAGGATAAATGTGAAAGGAAACAAAGAAAAATAGATGGTAAACAGACATGGTATTATGTTTTGAAAGAAGAAATGAAAGGATTATATAAACAGGTTGAACCAAACGATAATGAGGATTCATTTACTGACGATGAAATACCTGTAAATGAAGCTTTATAAAGTATGATTTGAATTTATTTTTGCATTAATCCTGCTGTGTTGTCAAAATGTCATGTTGTCTCATTTTTTCAGAGAAGTTAAATAACCTGGTGACCTGGTGACCTCATCAGTTATTCAATAATGCTTCATAACTGCCTTCCTCATTAATCCTGCTGTGTTGTCAAAATGTCATGTTGTCTCATTTTTTCAGAGAAGTTAAATAACCTGGTGACCTGGTGACCTGGTGACCTCATCAGTTATTCAATAATTAATTATTTTTGAATAACCTAAAAACATGAGACTTTGTCTCCGGACTCTTTGAGTCACTTAACGTAAACATTATTTTTGGGTCATTTACACTCATTTCCGGGACTGTTGTCAAAATGTCATGTTGTCACAAACTTTAGAACGGCATAATTTAAATTTTTATTTTTATCATAAATGGATACCCCACAAGCTCAAAATTTACCACGAATCATAACAAGGGAGGAAATGATAAAAATGATGCGAGAACTTGCTAAAAATAACAAACCACTAAAACTGAGAAAATGTGGTTATGCAGTAATGATGGAAAGAGAGATGTTGTCAAAGAAAAATAAAAATTAAATTTGGATAGAGTTTAAAAATTCATCTTTATTAAATTCATCTCTTCCAATCAATTTATTTATTCTATTAAATTCTTTTATTTTTGCTTCACTCAGTTTAAGGATTGAACGGTAAGTTTCTAATTTTTCGATTATTTCCTTCTTCTCTTTATCGTTTTCAATTACTTTAGTTTTATGGGCATCAACCCCATCACATTGTGGCTTCTTTTTGTAATAGCATATTTTTGATTTAATTCTGTTTAGTTTCTTTTTATATTCATCGTCAGGACTCTGAATCTTAATTAAATCAGGACTCTTGACTGCTTTGTTGTCACTCATTTCTTACGAATTAAAAAAAATTAAATATTATTTAAATATAATGGAGTAATAAAATAAATTGGAATTTCTATTAATTTATTGTCAACTTCAACTAATGCATTGCCGTTAATATATCTAACAAATTCAGCTATTGTGTCAAATCTTCGTCTTCTTTTTGTCATTGATTTATCAGTTTTTCCATAATCGAGATGAATCAAAACTTTATCACCTTGTTTAAAATTCATGAGCCCCGAATTAATTTGTTCACGTTTAACATCATTTAACCTTTCCATTTGCTTTCTAATATATTCCCATTCTTTTGAAATATCATTTTTCATTTCCACTGGTTTCATGTTTATAGTTCTATGCCATGTATTATTATAATAATATACTAACTGCTGTATGATGGAGTCATGATTTCCATCCCAGTATATCTGACCGTTAACCCCTAACGCATCTCTAAGAGTTCTCATTACCGCATCAACTATTTTATTATGAAACGTATATGGAGAGGATGAAAAGAAAAAATTAATTTGTGGGAAATAATGAGTCATAGTTGCCTGAAATCCTTTATCACCATCACCCCTTATATTATCTACTCTTTCATGATCTAGTAAGTATTGTATAGCTCTTCTTGTTTCCTGTTCTGTTTTCCCTTTCACTGGAATGCAATATAAATATCTAGTGTTAATGTTAATGGCAAATAAATAAGTAACTTTTCCTTTTGAATATTCTAAATGATCGATTTCGTATGAATATGGATATGGTGCAAATGAAGGGCGACTAAATTTTTCCTTTAACGGTTGAATTTTCGGGTCAGTTGGTTTATTTAATGTTTGAAATGGATATAATAAAGTGAATGATGAAGGATTAACTGAAGGAGGAGGCGGTACTGTCTTTGGAGGTTTTGGTGTTGCAGGTGGTTTAATTTTATCTGCTTTGATTTTGGAATTCATTCCCCCCTTCATTAATTCTGGATGTATTCTATTCATTTGTTTTAAATATGCTGTATATAAAGGTTTGATATACTTTCCCGCTTCGAGTTTATGTTGAAGGATGAATTCCAAAAGTTGATCTTCATTTAAAAGTCGGGCTGAATATGGTTTAACTAATGAATCATAAATTAAAGCTTGTGCTTCATTTATGGTCTGAAGAACCTGGGTGTTTTGCATCTTTTGTTTTTGTTCCTTTGGTTTTTGCGGCTCATGATTATATAAATTATATAATTCATCAATATCTTCTTCTGTTAATACTTTATTTTTGAAATCTTTCAATTGTTTAAGTTGTGATTTAGTTTTTCCCTTTGTATATTCATTATTTTTAATTTTGTCTTTAATTTCAGAAATTATTCTATTATGATATTTCAAAATTTCATTTTTATAATATGGATAATAATAATCCATATCATCACCCGTTATATTGTTATCATATTTTTGGAGATATGCTTTTAAATCATAATAAGTAAGAAAATTTTGATTAAGTACTAAAACATCAATTAAATTTTTTAAATCTACGCTATTCATTTATATAAAAATAAAATAAGTGTTTTAAGGGTGCCCACCTCTTTGAATCATAGTATCAAAACCATCATTAACGGTTCCTTTTGTCTCTTCTGTGGTATTTCATTAAAAATAAAATATTTATTGTATTAAATAAATGGCATACAACATCCATTTTCACAACATACAGCCTTAGTGTGTGCTCCTGTTAATGCAGTCTTACCAATTGTTAAGCGAGTCATTGACCCGTTTTTAAGTTGTAAATTAATATTCTGACCATCAAATATCACTTTATCATTTATTATATCCAAATATTTTTTAGGTGTTAATTGCTTATTTTGTCTTAAACTAACACCTTTCATTTTTTGTGCAATCTTTTTAAAATCACTTCCATCAATTGAACCGTTGAATGATGTATAACATTTAGGACATAAAGCAACCATGTTATCACCTTGTTTCTCAATTGCTAAACCCAATAACTTCTTCTCATGTGCTTTTTCTTCGGCTTTATTCTTTAATTTAGGTTTAAATTTCTCATCAAAACAGAAGAAATCAAATGGTGCGAATTTGAAAATGTTTTTATCATAAAATTGTTTATCGGTAACAATCGCCTGAAATGCTTGAGTGTTAGGAAGATTTGGGTCGCCAGCAATAGCCCAATAAGATGAATCAGTATCACCTTCAATGAAATGAAAACGATTAACATCCATGCATTTATACATAAAATCATAAATGAAAACCAAATACCAGTATTTTGCGTTATCTAAAGTGAAGAATGCCTCTTGTAAACATGTATCACATCTATAAAATCTATCTTTAAGCATCACTTGATATGTATCTTCACCTATTTCTCTTATGTTTTTAAACTTATTTGACATACATGCAACGCGTGCCTTCTGTGCATTCATTATTTTAGTCTTTGCATAATTTTGTGTATTCATTGCATCGTAACCATATGATCCATTAAGTGAAATCTTGCAAAATAAACTTTTTCCTTTATTTCCTTCTAATTCAGCCTTTTGTCTTTCGTTCATAAATTTGTTCGCAAATTCATTAAAACAAGTGTTTTTCGTAAATGTTAAAATTGATTGAATGTCATCAATGATAAAATGAAATCTGTCGATTAGATACCAAAGATAATAAGAAGAAAATGGTTGATATTGGTTGTATGTTGATGCTAACTGAGTTAATTTCCTCTGTTTCTGGTCAACCGGTAGATTGTTTGATTTCATGTAATTATACATAAAACTGCCAATTGTTTTTTCATCTGTGATAATATCTAAGTTTCTTATTATCGGTAAAAAGTTTATGTAATCATTAATGTATTTTTCATCAATGTGACCCTTTACTTCAGCAACGAATAAAGTATTTTTCTTCTTAATTATTCCCAGTGCTTTTGCTTTCTTTGTTGCTGTATCACAAATGATAACACCATTCAATCTTCCCGGCATATACATTTTATGGTCAGTATATTGAATGAAATCATGAGGATTAGATGAAAATGATGAAGGATATAATGAATTAAAGTCAACTCCAACGAAATGAGTCATAATGTTGGTGGTGTCCTCATTTGATACAGTTTTAGTTTCTGGATTATATGAAAGTTTATTAATGTGCGTGATTCCTTTAAGATTAACACGATGTTGAACATTTGATAACCACCAGTAATTCCATTACGGAGAATGTGATAAGCTTCAACTGAATCTAAAGTCATTGGTAAATTATTTTTTAATGCATAATTTCTTAAATTGATTCTTAAACGTTGAACATCTTCATCTTTATTTGATTTTACGACATTGCAATAACAACACATTAACTGACAATTTTCTTTGGTATGTGGTTTTTCATTATCTATTCTATCCAATGTTGGTTTATTTGCATATGTAAACGCTTTACCACACATTTTGCATTTAGATGAAAGGATTAAATCGTGATAGTATTGAAAATCATCCATTGAAACATTATTTTTAGTATCCCTTTCTGCTTTTTCATCTTGTTTCTTATATGATTCAATTTTATATTTCCAATACTTTTTCGTTAATTCAAAACTTGATTCTATCTCTTCCTCAGGATATTTTTCATTAGGATTAAAGTCTTTATATGCTAAAGCGTAACGAATCATTGAAGCATTCGATGATAAAGAAAGATTATGAAGCATGTCAATTTTATAAACAAATGTTTCTTCAATAATTTTATCAATTGGGTCAATCATAATTTCAACATCTTTATTGCAATAATGAATAAAATATTCTAATCTATTCTTAAAATTTTTAGCATCATTGAGATATATTTGATAATCACTATCTGATATAGTTTCTTGAGTTAATGCTGAATAAAATGAATCTTCGTGAATGGTTCCTCTTTATATAATTCTTCTTCGTAATTCTCCCATGTGATGAATTGATAAGGGAAAAAGGATTTAACACGTGATTTATTGTTTCCGAAATCTTGAGTGAATTGGTCTAATGTCCCACCCGCTATATAATTTCTGATGTCAATAAATCTCAATTCATATGGAACGTTTGTTTTCTTTACAATGATTTGCTTAAATTGTGAAGATGAACCCAGCATTGATTTTATTTTCCATTTTGCAGTGTTTAAATCACGAAGAATTAAATTTAAATCAAACTTTCCCGAATTAAAACCTATGATATTCACTTTATTGAATTCCTCATCTAGAAGTTCTTTAAATGCTTCCTTCTGTTTTTCATTTAATGTATGAGACTTCATTAATTCTTCATATTGTTCAATATTTGATTTAGCAACTAATGAACAGGTTGAAAATAAAAACTCAATCCAATCAGAAATAAAAGAATCACTCGAAGTTAAGCAAAAATTCCTCGTATATGTTTTATCATTTAATTTAACCGTTGATGATACCATGAATGGTTTTAAGTAAGCGTTCAAAGTTGCACACTCAGAAAGTTGTAATTCTTCTTTAGTCTCTAATGTTTCGAAGTCAAAAGTAATATAATATCTTGTCGGTTGATAATATTCCTGCAAATTATGAGCTAATAACCACTGATATATCTTCTGTTTCGTAATATGTGGTGCATATGGTTGCTGTGTCTTTTGCAACTGAACGTCTTGAATTAATCTTCCATTATTTTCTTTACATTTCTCACAATGCTTTAAAAATCTTCTTTGGTTTTTCCTTTCTGGATCATCACGGATAGAATAAACTTCTTCTTTACAATATGGACAAACTTTATAGCCGGTGAGTGCTTCAACGTCTGTTATTCTGTCAGCGTGAAGTTTTCCACATGGACTCTGTGTTAATAAAATATTTACTGTTTCAAATTCTGGATCTATCATTATTGATTCCACTAATGGAAAGTCTACCTTATTTATGTCCACGTCTTCTGGTTGAGGATCACAATAATAGAAATCAATATTAACATTTAACATTCTCGCTAATCTCTCACTTTCTGATGAAATGTCAAACCCTTCATATGCATCTATTGCTTCATTTAAATACTTCTACGAGTTTTAGGATTAACACCATCAGGAATGTTATAGAAGCGTTTAAATAACCTTCTACCTTCTGCTCTAATTTGATTATCATTCATTTTAGCGGTTCCGTTTTTGTTCATTTATGTAAGAATAAAAAAAATTTAAAAAATAAATAAAAATAAAGTTTATTTTTAAAGCCCATAAAATGAATTAAGAACACATAAATTTTTATCATCTGCGACGTGACGAATACATTTTAATTTACTCAAGAATGCGTACCCTGATACATTAAATCTAATTCCTGTCTTATTTAATTTCACAACTTTGAAAAGGAATGTATGAATAGCTATAAAATGATGAGAAGATGTTTTATGGGTTGCTTCCATTTTTTCTGAAATAAATGAATAAATATAATGTTTATAAGTTTTCATATCTTTTATATTCTTAATAACGAATGGTATAGACCTTTCCACTTCATCTTCCTTCGGTGCTGTTCTTTCATATGAAACATTATTGGTATCTTCAATAATGAAACCACAATCACACAAAATTTTATAGGTTCCAATGGTTTCTTTTGATATTTTATCTAATAAATCAAAAACTTTATCAACACCTGTGCATTTATTTAAATAATAATTTGTGTAAATATCATGATCTTCTTTCTTAATCGTATTAGTTGCATATGTCACATTTTTAAGAGCTTTTTTGAATTTCTCAGAATCGAGAGGGGGTGAAAGCAGGATACAAGGGTATTCTTCATTATCAATAAATTGTAACTTATGTTTACGAATAAATTTAGTACCTTCTTCTGAAAGTGTTTCGTCTATTTCACCATCTAATAAATTTTGTGTTGATTCTGAGACATAATTTTTATATCTTTCTTCATGAGATTTCTGAACTTCTGATTCTGAAGCTGGGATATTCATTAAACCCTCTACTTCATTTTCAACTTCTCTTAATTCCTTAATTTTTTCATCTATTTCATCTCTTATTTTTTCCAGTCTTTCAATTTCATTGTATTCATCATCTTTAATCCGTTCTTCATAATATTCAGGGAAAACATCAGGTTCTTTAGGTTTTTCTTCTTTAGATGTTGGATATAAGAAATTTATAACATCATCTTTATTCATTTTTCCATCATAATCAAACTCATTTAAAAACTCCGCGAATTTTTGACAATTTCTTAAATAATATTTACTAACTTCATAACCCGCCTCCTTTAATATATCCTTTATTTCCTCGTTTGTGAATCCTAATTTTTTAACGTTGTTAGTTTTGACGCTCATTTCATACGAATTAAAAATAATTTTTCGTAAGACATTGAATTTTTTTATTTTTTATTTCATTATGGTAGTGAATCTTTTACTCGTTTATGAGGTCTTTGATTATGACTCCATTGATTCCATTCAGGATTTAAACAATGTTTAATTAATCGCGGAATATCTGACATCATCTATATATAGCTTCTTTTATAAAAGATAAAAAATAAATTATTTTAAAATTAATGTTAATTTTTTAATGATTTATAAATAAATATATTTTAATGCATCGTCTATATATAGATGTAACAAAAAAAGTCACACACCCCTTCCTATCCTACTACTAATATAAAGATTTATTGTTAAAACATAATATTTTTCTCTATTGATATTATAAAGAATATTCATGGAAATGCAAGTTCTGCATTCGTAAAAAGTTTTTATTCCATATTCAATAACCATAAATAAAAACCACTCAAAAATCTAAAAAATAATTCAAACAAAATTTGAAAGGGAGTTTTGAAAATAATTAATATGTAAAATGAAAAATTAGGATTTATACTTTGTAGAAAAAGTATCAAATTAATATACTAATTTATGTATTATTAAAAACCTCATTAGATTGAGAGACTGAAATTTTTGAGTGTTCATTTTTTAATTCAATTTTGGATAGGAATTAATTCAATTTCTTGATATTGACACAACTGTAAAAAATTTTAAACTTTTAATTTGACATTTTTTTCAATGTTGCTTGGAAACCTTGTATTTGCTAGATTTATCACATACAATGATTCAGATTGCAAAAAAATAGTCTCTGGTTTTAATATATTGGAACCAGGTGAAGAAGGATGTATTGCATTATCATTCTATATTGCAAGCAACAATACAAATTATAGTATAACAGCTACGTATACTACACATGATGGAGAATTTCTGGACTCTGTAACTCGTAATAAACCTTTTGCAGTTTCATTAAATATATCTTCTTATGCAAGAGTGAATTCAAAAATTAAATGCTTAGAAAATAGTTATGGTTGCAAATTACAATTATTTCGAATTGATCCATCGGTAATATCATTCAGGAAACAAATTAGTAAGAGGAATGGAATTGAGTACACTTATGATTACAAACATTACCAACATTTTTCTGCGAAGTCATCTGGATCGCTAACAATTAACGCAAAACAGGAAGTAGTATATAAAAACAAACAAATTTATTTCTATATCGAATCATTCAATTATGCAAATATCGACAAATCGTTTAAGAAAATAACAAATTCTTCAACAAATCCAAATATATCTGTAATTGTTTCGAGATCTGCTAGTGAATTATCAAATACAACGAGTTTTGAAGCATATACTGTATTTAATGATCAAATCGTATTAGAACATTATCCAGATGAGTTTTGGGATCAATTTAATAATGGAACCACATATTCAAGAACAATATAAGGTAACACAACACTTATTTTCGAGAAAATTGGTGAACAAAGTGAAGACGAAGAGAAAAGTCTTTTTGGAGATGATTTCGAATATATTTTGTATAGTGAAAATACAATCAAAACGAAAGAAGAAGTCGAAAAGGATACAGTAATATATAATCCAACACCAAACATTACTAGTAATAAAGCACCATCACCAACACGAGGATCGAACGATTTGGGAGATTCTTCTAAATTGAAGAATTATCAAATTGCACTAATTGCAATTGGTTTAATTGTTATAATGGCGATCATTGTTATCTCAACAATCTTCCTAATTCAGAAATGTAAAACCATATCCAAATCATCTAAATCAGGCTCTGGTGAAGGTGAAGATATTTAAATAAAGTAAAATTGATAAACAATTAAATCTAATTGTCAAAAATTCTTTTTTAAGGCGGGGTACTCTCTCAAGTGAGGTATATTTCAAAAGAATCACTTGTTGAGATAACAATAACAATTGGTGTTATTGTTATAATCATCTTTTGAAATATACTTCACTTATTAATTTTTCCAACTGAAAATCTGGTAAAATCATACTATACATGTTAAAAATATAATTAATTAATTAATAAAGTCACTCTGCCACTTGATCAATAATATAAAATTTAATTGTATGTGATTAGATATTTATTTAGTGAATGGTAAATTAAATTTATTATATGGGTATCAATTATTGGTATATCATATTCATCTAGTTTATAAGACGTCAAAATTAAAATTCTTGAATAAGAATATCAAATCCAGCTCAATGATTTTACTTCTAATTTAATCTCAATTATGTATTATCAAAAATCTCATTAATTTGAGAAGGCGAAATTTTTGAGAGATGATTATTTTTTAATTCAATTTTGTTTTTGTGATAAAATAATTAGTTTCCGTAATTACACGTCAAAAAATCGAATTTGTAATACAATTTTATTAATTATCATAAAAAAATTGAATGCTTTATATTTTCATTTTCAAGAATTCTTCCTGATTAAGAAAGGCAAAACCAAATCCAAAGCATCTAAATCGGACTCTGGAGATGGGGAAGATATATAGAAAAAGAATAATGATTCAATAATAAAACTTATTTGTCAAAATTCTTTTTTAAACATCATTCTTTTATCATGAACTAATGCAAAGAGATTTCACTCTCCATATAACCAACATTTTCGTATACTTTTCAATGTTTGATTTCAAAGTTCACTAATAATCAAGCTAATCATCAATTGTTTCAGAAAGAAACAATGGCTCAAGCTCAATTTTATGAAACAATCAGTGAATTTATATAAACATAAAATCATTTTAACAAAATATCAGACTCCAATTACAAAAAACTAAGAAAAAATATTGAAGTAATTTAAAAAGTTACATCAATGAATATTCGTTGATGAAAGTTCTATTCGAAATCCTCGTGCGAATGATTTAAAATTATATATAATCAAGATTATATGAAAATTATTGAAACCATTCAATAATCTTAATAAAATTCAATGCAAATTTTTGAATATCATTCGAATTTATACGAAATGTGAATTTGGGTATTTGTTTTATTGCTTCAATTTTTAGAATGTTTTTATTTCAATTAAATACATTATCAAAAATCTCAAACAATTGAGAGAGTGAAATTTTTGAGAGGTGATTTTTTTAATTCAATTCTGTTGTTACATATATTTGTCAGACAATAAACTTTTGAAGTTATTATTAATTCTTACATAAAATTTTGAATGATTATTTTTATTTTCAAAATGCTTCTCAATAGTCTTGCATTTAACAGAATTAAGGCTTCATATTCTTCTAACACAGATGATGCATTTCCAAATTGTGACTATATTACTCCAGGATTTATTGTTATGAAATCAGGAGAATCAAAATGCATTAATAATACATTTTTTATTGCCAGCAATAATACAAATTATAATGTTGAAGCAAGATATGAAAACTTGCATTCACACAAATTTACTGAAGCGATAAAGGCAAATAGACCTTTTGCTGTATCAATTAACGATACAGACGATCATGATGTTCATTCTAAAATTACATGTTTAGAGGAAAATAAAGGATGTAAATTCCAGATAGTTTATGTAGTGGCATCAGAAATCTGGAATGATACTGAAATAGATGGTGGAAAAACCAATATATACAATAACTCCATTCTTTCTTATTTTTCAACAAAATCAAATGGATCACAATATTTACACACCATTGAAGTTTGGGATTACAATCATAATACTAAGGAAGCATCTATATCTTCTCAAAGATTTGTTTATACAAATATCGACCCATCTATCAAGAAAATAACAAATACATCAACACATCCAAATATAACTCTTGAAGTTACAGTCTTTCCTGAGCGTTCATTATCAAATGCAACAAGTTTTAAAGCCGAAACATTCATTTTAGATCGCTTTCGGGACGTTGCAAATGCAATTAAACAGGGAAAGTCAGCAAAAAAGATAGTTGAAAGTAATGTTTTGTTGGAATTTGAGAAAATTGGAGATCCTTAAGAAGGAGAAGAAGAAATGCTTTTTGAAAAGGATATGGAATACATATTGCTTAATGAAAATGCAATTAAATCAAAAGAGCAAATAAAAGAAGATACTTCCAAATATGATAATCTAGGTAGGACCAAACCTACAGAAAATCCAACGCCGGAAACCTCTAAATTAAAGAATTATCAGATTGCAATAATTGTCATTGCAGCTGTTGTTGTTATTGCAATCATTATAATTGTTTCCATCATTTTGATAAAGAAATCTAGGAAACAATCTAAGTCAGGTTCGGGATCAGGAGAAAATATTTGAATAAATGATATTTTTAATATTGTAGGTTCATTTTTTCAATTACAATGAAAATTAGTATCTCTACATATGCATTTTGTAGAAATTATAAATTTTATGATATATTTTCATTACATAATATAATTACTTGCTATATATTAAATAATAATAGCTTATAGTTCTGTTCATAATCGAGTTTTTAAGGTGAAATTTCAAAATTATCTTCAAATGTCATTTATTAAGATTTTTCAATTGATATATGAAATAGAACAAAGATTAATATTAAATGTTAGACAAAAATATGTGTATATAAAAACGACTTTCTCTTTTTTTTTCGACTTTCAATTCAAATTATTTTTGCTTATTCAATTTAGATATCTAAAAAATTTGAAATCATTCATAATTCTATCATATATATCAAAAAATTGCTACGACTTTATTGCACGATATCAAATTTCAATAGTGGAAATTTTTCACAAAAATCATTTAAACCAAAAGATGTCTGTTGATTATGACTACTTCCCACAGCACGTAGATGAATGGTGCAATGATGGCAATTTCATTAATTGTAGGACACCGATGCAGATTTCAAATATTTTAGACAAATGTAGTTTGACTTCAAAACAATTCACACAATTATTTTCTTTGATACAGGAATTTTATAATATTGAAGATACGTTGAAAATAATGCAGCATGTACACTTTTCAACCAAAAATGATCTAAAAGAATCATGTTCAGTCATTAATTGCATATCAGAATTATTCAATATTCCATTCCTAAAAGAAATTAGCAGCGATATCACATATATACACAAGTTTGATCTTCGTCGTGCAACACAAAAAACTAAAGAACCACAAAAGGTCCCTACAACCGATGCAAACATAAAGCTATTAAATAGTATAGACAAATTAATGGACAATTTTTTAATTATTTATAAAGTACTTGTAAAAGCAGCTAATGAAGATGACGAGTACACTATCAAATATGCAGTTGATGAAAAATATTCTGATGTTAGAGGTAACAAACTTTTTATTGATCAACTTTTTTATGCAGTATTTAATAAAAATCATAAGCTTGCGAATTTACTTATAAAATATGGTGCAAGTGTCACAACTCGTTCAAAAGATAATGATTCGTTACTTCATCTATATGCTTTATATGACGATGTTGATGGCATAAGAATTTGTCTCAAATACATAGATGTCAATACTCAAGATGGTATGGGAAATACTCCACTTCATTACTGCATATCACCTGGTAGCGTCAAAGCTTTGAATTTCCTTCTCTCACAACCAGGCATAAATCCAAATATCAAGAATAGTGTTGGCTCGTCTCCCCTATCAATGGCAATTAAAATGGAGAAAGATGAGATTACAGAAATCCTTATGGACAACCCTAAAGTTGATACGAATATTTAATTATGATAATAATTATTATAATATAAGATCACAAATGATTTGAAATAAAAAATATCATTTAATGAAAACTTCTTATTTTCTTTTAGATAGCTTCGGTATATTTTTCAATAGATTCAGTTTAGTGACTGCAAAAGAAAGTTTAAAATAACAAAGATTTACTGACGTAAACTTGTCTTCCTATGGAATTTAATTCATACAAGTATTAAAATATTTGGAAAATCAAACTTATTTATGAAATAGCCTTCACAAGAAAGTATCATTCAAATTGAGAGATTGTCATCATTCACAAGTGCCAATATAAAGATGGAATTATCATTTTCTTAAGATTTTTAACTTCATCATTTTCATAAGTATCTCATTGGAGAGTGTAACCCTTTTCTAGTTATCTAATTAAAAATCCGAATATTCAAAGGGGTTTTCTACATGTAAATATCATTAATCACCAAAGGAACGTTTGTAAAATCAAAAATTAATCATTTCAATCAATCCTTATTTTCAAAACAAGAAAAGATAACGGTCATATTTCGATCAACTGTTTTATCTCATTTTTTACCCTCAAATCTAAGCTTTTTTTTGATATCAATATTACTGATGTATCGTTGAAAGTTGTAAGTGAAATATTAAGTTGTAAAAAAAGTAATCTTTCAATTGATAAAAAAACAAGAAAAAAAATATTTTATTCCTTAGATTTCTTAAAAATCAATTTTGGAAGTGCTTTGATCACAGTCCATTTCAAGTTCTTCTTCAATAAAGCAATGATCTGTTGCTTAGTTCCGAAGATATCCTCCAAGAACAAACCATTAAACACGAAAGGTCTGTTTGTAAATTCAGCGAAAACAGACTCTCTTGGGAATCTTATATTCAACGAAGCATCGATTGGATTGAATCTAAACATCCTGCAGAAGAACAAGTTCGAATCATTCTGTTGTGTATCAACTTTCTGTAACTCAACAGGTTGTGTTGATTCGATCTCTTCTTCATCGAATTCCAAGACATGCATTTCATCTGTTGATTTAAAGAACTCAACAATTTCCATGAAGAAAGCAATGTCAATGGAAATCAAGAACGGAGCCAATGTAACATCAATTCTGTCGAAAACAGGACACCTCATTAATGGTCTCGTCTGATTCAAAACAAAATTAAATATTGGTTGGCTGCCTTCATTCGATTTGAAGATGTTATGGAAGACATCGATGGCGTCGTTCCTTTCAGCTTCGATTTTACGGAAAGAAATTTTAATTGCCTCACTCATATCTTCAATTCTCTTTGCATCAAAGCAAATGCCTTGTAATTTGGCAGTTATTAATGGATTTCTCGTCTGTTTGAGGAGTTCTACGTTCAAACATTCCAAAGTTAGTAAAATCATGAATTCTATCTTTGGTTTTTCCATATCTTTGGCATTTTCGTCTTCTGTTGTGTTGTTGAAGTCCAAATGAGTGAAGTACTGACGGATTCTCTTGATTATCGGCTTGTAAAATTCGATATCTTCTTGAGATATACTTAAATCAACAGCATTTATCGTAGAAGCGATGATTGCTCTATTGGAAGCCATCGCTGTGCATAATTGTGGCTCTTTTAGGCTGACAAGATTGATGTTTGGCGGTGCTCTGATGAGACATTCAGTAAATGCATAAGTCATCATCGCCAAATTGGCTTCGTTGATTCTCTTCTCGATTATCAACAATGAAATCAATATGGAAAGTATCTGTTCGTTGCTGTAATTGATTCTAAAATCAATTTTTTGAACAGAAACAGTCATAATTGTTTGATTGAAGTAATGGAAGAGTTCTTCAACGGAGTTCATGCTCTGGAGATTACTTATTCCCTTCTTTGGATGAAGTTTAAGTGGAATCCGCTTCAATTGGAAGAGTTGGTCGAGATTTAATTTCGTAATATTCTCTTTCATGTTGACTTGCATGATTCCTTTGTTCCTTTCGACCTGGAGACCTTTCATATTCATGGAGAGAATGGTTCTCATGTTGTAAGTGCATATCAATGTCAAGTCATTCGATGTAATTGACATAGATCTCGGCAAACTTTCGTTGTAGAAGACTTGGAGAGGGTCATCAACAATATTAAAGATAAGAGAACCATTCATCATTCTCATGAGAAGTGGTGGAAGTGTGATATTGGCATCAGTAAAGCCGTATAAAGGAAATGGAACAAATCTGATGACAAAAAGTGGAGGTTTTACGAACTTTTCGAGAGTCATTCTTGGAGCAACTCGATCTAAAACAATTTGCAATTGGTCTAAGTCAACAATTCCAAATTGGTCGCTAAATGTCTCGGTGACATGAATCGAAAACTTGTCAGTTCTCCACTTTTCGTACGGATCGTAGTCGGGATCGGTCATCATTGATGAATCTATGGGGATAAAGATGGGTCTACGCTCATCTTTTGGCATATTTGCGTTATGAGTTCCCCATCTAATTTTTGCACGGGGCTGGAACAAGGTGCAAAATGCATGTTGTCCGCTCTGGTTTGTGAAATAGATGACGAAATCGCTTCCTGTCAAAGAGTATTTGTCGCCATCAAAGGAAATCGAACAATTATGGTAAGTTAGTATGTAAAGAGGTTCTCCAAATGGATCAACGGGATCATTGAAACCATAAGAAATGTCTTTCGACTTCAAATCGAACTTCCATCTCGTTCTAAATCTCGTGTGGTCGATGAACTGAAGCCATTTGAACTTGTAGTGTCTCTGTCTGAATATCCTGGATGCAAGTTTGAAGTCCTGACACCATTGGATGAAAGCCAATCCCCAATGTCCGTAAATTTTACTTGCTTGAAGGCTAACATCAAGGAAAACTACATTTCTTGAGGATATCATTGGTATTTGGAACTCTTCTTGACCTTCGTCGCATGATATCTTGAACAAAAAGAACTCATTTGCTTTTGTAGAATTATGATATGCGGAAAAGAAATGGCCTTTCGACTCCAAGTTACTTCCACTGTATACAACACCGAATTCTGGTATCTTCCATGCTAAATACTCGCAGGAACCGTAATATGGCGCTCCACTTATTTGACCAATTATGTCGTCGGTCACTTCATTGCATATATTTTTGATTTTGTCGAGCGCTGCTTTGCGGTTTGGTATTGAAAAACCGTTAATTCCGCATTCAAGGTTCTTAATTTCGACTGTGAACCAATCTGTTTCAACATGGTTATCAATCTCTTTCAGTAAGCCTTTGTAGAGCTTCAGGAATAATTGTTTCGACTCGTAATCGAACTTTTCCCGGTTAAATTTATTTGGATTTGTTGATTGAATGATTTGGAGGGCTTTCTCTTGTCTCAATCTAAGGTCCTCTTGAGCAGCAGCCATTGCTTCGTTCGCTTTTTGTATTTCTATGGTTAATTGTGGTCGTGTGTATCTTACAAGGCCAGAAGCGAGTTCTAGAGAGAAAATAAACCTTGTAGGAGGTAGCTGTGTCCTTGTATTCCATGTTCCACCTCTGAAATGTGACTGAAGGAACCTAAATATTCCGAATAATTCTTGGAAGTAAGTTGTTTCAGCGAAATCATCAGATAAAATGAGTTCAATGTATCCTGCTTTGACATCCATTCTCGGTGGCTCGATTCTCATTGAAATTTTGTTACCAATGCAAAATGGAACAATTTGATTGACAAAAATAATATCTCCGACAACATTCTTTGCGCTAACAACCATATCCTTGAAATCTATCTTCGTTAATGCAAATTTATGAACGTGTGTGTCAGATAATTCAAATTTAAGAATTCCGGATGGAGAAGTTGCAGTAATTTCTCTAAATAACGCAAATTTGTCATGTATATCATCTCTAGGTTTGAGTGTAAGCTTTTCTATGCAGAATCTTGCCAATAATCCGACATCAATCATCATAGGCGTTGAAACAGTACAATCTATCTTTCCAAGAGTTATGTTTGTGCCTTTCATTAAGAAAGAAGGTATTGAAAGTACGTTTCTGTTCATTCTGATGAGATTAATTCGATTTGCTTTAATTCTTTGATTTGAAAGGAAAATCTCTTCAGCAGTGAAACTGAGATTTGTTGTTAGTAAGTCAAATAATGGTACGAATATGTCAATTGGCTCAAATTTGATTGTTCCGACGGCAAATTCATCATTTTTAGCATGGAATGTACAGGAAATAGGGAAAACATGTATTTTGGCCTTTTCGTATTGCATATTTAAGGAATTCAAAGAGATCGCAAAATTCAGAATATTTTTCATTAAATGAGGAATAACATCGACAGTAGCACTTAAATTGAATTCTACAGAAGGTATTCTAAGTGAAGGAATGTTTAGATTGAAAATGCACTCATTTAATAAGAAGTGAAAATCCAAATTGTTATTATCGCGTCTGTAAAACATTTTAAGCTGTGTAAATGAGAATTTGAAGCCATTAACTGATATAAAAGCATTGTTCAAGTCAAGATTCATGGATTTAAACAGAATTGTCGCGATCAATTTTCCAAATGTTTGAATTACGTATTTTTCTAGTGATTGGCGTGATTTTTGTTTGTTTTTAAGATCGATATGCTTTAATGTGAGGTGTAATTTTGAACATTGCAGTGATAAAATGGAAGTTCCACTTGAATGGAAAAAACCTAGTGGATATATACCAAATTTCATATTGAATATTTCAAAGTGGCAGTTTTCGGATAGTCCCGATGCTATTTTGATCGAAAACATCTGCATTCCTCTCATCAAAATGAGAGAATCACCGAATACTAGTTTGAGTTTCCGCTTGAGAGCATGGAAGATTACTTCTCTAATCGCAATCATTGCCAGGAAGAAGAACAATGTTATTAAAAAGAGAAGAAGTAACCAATCCATTTTGACAACCAAAAAAACTACCACAAATTTAATTTATTTTTATATTTTATACTAATAAAAATGGATGCTTTAACATTTAAGTGATTGTCGGAATTCAATGACAATAAACAATCCATTTTTTGAATTTGCCTCTCAATTTTTACACGATACACAGAATTTTTTCTTTTTCTTTAGATTTCCAGAATACCTGCTTTGACAATTCCAAAACATAGTCTTCCACTAAATATATAAGTTTTATCGGCATTGAATCAAATACGGATGAATATTTTCAAAGTTTGGTTGCATTTCATGAAGATTATCAAAAGATACTATTAACTATGCTAATTTATATGATTGGTACGCTTTAAAAATTGATGATATACCATACTTGCATCATATAAACCTTCTGGGAAGGACATTCAAGATATTCTGGATTCGAAATTTACTCTGAAGACAGGAATAATTCATGTCATAATGCTGTATCATGCCTGTAATGTCATCATACGCTTTGCTATATATAAAAAAATCCTGATAAAAAACCAATTTTTTTTTGTACGTTAGTTAATGACTGAAAAGGAGTTTGATGAACCAGGAGACGATTTAGAACAGTTTGATGAACTGGAGAAAAACTTCCAAAAAGTCGTCTCAGATCTAGTTGCTGATCAAAATTTAACAACTTTTAGGGCAGAATACGAAAAATTACATCAAAGTCTTGTTAAATCGCATAGTGAAAACTTAGTATTAATTGAAAAATGCAGACAATTAAATAACGATATTCTTGCAAATGCTAATAAAGTTTCATCTGTTATGCAACTCAGCCAAAGTGATCAAAGAACAATTGCAGGCCTTAAACACGAATTTGAAAAGGCTTGGTCACTCGTCGAGATTTCTCAAGATAAGGAGCAAAAGAGTAAGGATGTTATTGAGAGTTTAAAGGCAGAAGTTGCAAAATTATCGAGATTAGTTGAACAAGGAAGTTCGTTAGCTTTTACTCAAGAAACTTCACTTAACGAAACAGAACAAGCTGTGAAAGTACTTAAGTCAGATATACAAAATCAAGGCATGCAGCTCGAACAAATGAAAAAAGAACTTGAAGATCGAAAACAAGTTACAGAAACGATATTAGCTGATACAGCTAAATTAAAAGAAGAATTTAATACGCTTTCAACTGATTCTGCTGAGGCAAAAGCAAGCGAGCAAGAAGTTGCCCAAAAAATCGAACAAATTCATAAAGATCTTAACGATATTAAACAACAAATCAAGCAATCCAATCAAACAATTACAGATAATATTAATTTAATCAAACAAAAGAAAGATGATAACGAAAATCTTAAAAATTATTTCTATTCGACAAAAAGTGCTCTGAAAGTTAATCAAGAGGATCTTGATAACTTAAGGAGTGAAATTGCAGTTCGAAAAACATTACTTGATAATAATCGAACTAAAAATGACAAAACACAAGCAGATTTAGTTTCAACGAAGCAAGCAATTGAATCAACGAAGACAAAATTCGAAGAAACAAATAAAGAATTACAAGGAATTGCTGAAGAAACAGCACAAATGCAAAATATGTTAAATAACGAAAAAGGAATATTCCAAGACCTTATCAACCAAAAGAAACAAAATCATAAACGAATTGCTGCTTGCCAACAAGAAATCATCCTCAGAACAACAGATTTAAATCAAATCCAAAATAATAATAACATCGCGAGAAGAACTATTGAAAATGTACGTTCAGAACATCATAAACTCATTGAAAGTAACATAGAAGAAGTACATGAAACAGCATTTGTCGAAAATCAAAATTCAATTTTGTTAAATCAAGCAATTGACATCAAAATTGACACTCATAACCTCAGAGGTGATGTTATTCAGATCCAGAAAGATATTGAAGACTATCAGATTAAAACACAAGCTGCAAGATCCAATTTACTTCAAATTCACGAAGAAGTTACAAATCGTGAAAATCAATTGAGTGAAAAGACAATACAACTTGCCGGAATAAACGAAAACATTAAGCATCAAGCATCAATTACAGAATCAATTAAAAATGATCGTGATCTTGTTCACAGATTACTTCAAACTGCGATGTCTGATAACACAGAACTTTCCGAAGAAACAAAAGCTCTTAATCTTGGAATACAACAATTGAAAACAGATATCAGAGAAAAGGATGAATTATGTCTATCAACACATATTACTCAGAAAACTCTTGGTGAATCATTGATACAGTTAACAAAAGAAAAGAATGAACTCGCACAACAAGTTGCTGACATTGATTCTCAAAATACAGAATTAAGAAATCATATACAGAAATCTAGATATCTTTTATCACAAACAGAGCTCCAAAACATGAAACAACAACAAGTTATAAATGACTTGCAGTCAATCAAATACTCTCTCAATGAAAGTGTAACTAAGAAATCATGTGAAATCACAGATATTCATGAAAAAATTTATTTACTCAATGGTGAACTCAAAACAGGTTCTCTCGCGTTCAAAAACAAAATAGAAACAATTGAAAACTTAAAGAAGGAACTCATTCGTGAAGTAAAACGTCATCAGTTTTTGTTAGATAGCGTTCAACATTCAAAAGCACTTTTCAAAGAACACATTCAATTAACAAAAGCACTTTTGATGGAACAAGGCAAATGCAGAGCTTTAGAAGACGAATTAGAGAGACCAATGAACATCCACAGGTGGAGATTCTTAGAAGGCACGAATCCTGATTTGCTACAGTTATTTAAGATGTCAATGGAACTGAAGAACAAATTGATGGAGAAATTATACGCTTTGCAAAGAATAAACCTCAAGAGAGATAAAGCTAAAGAAGATCTTGATAAACAAGAGAAACATTATAAATGGGCTTATACAGGAAATATCAATGAAGAAATGAATTATCTGAATAATGTTTTGAAAGCAAAGAATCAGCAATTTAACGAGATTTCTAATCAAGTTGCTTTAGGCCAATCAAGTGTTGATGAACAGAAAGGAGTTGTCCTTAATTTAAGAGAAATGTTGAGAGAAGAAAAGTCCGGTTATTACGACATGAAAAAGAAAGTTGATGTAATTAGAGCTTCCACTGTTAAAGGCTCAAGAAATGCTCAAAGTGAATTATCAAGAGAACCTAAGTCTGCAGAAGTAAGGTTCGTTGGAGGTGGTTTCTCTGTTTCACAGATGCCTTCTCAACAACCTGATGTAAAACCTTTAACAGCAAAATCTGGATTTTCACCCCATATTTTCGCTCCTTCTAGACCAAAGACTGTTATGAAGAAGAAATTACCAAGCGGTTGGAACCCACAGAGAGCTCAACTTCAGCCTTTCTTACCAACTGTTTCTGGACCAAATGTATAAACATTGTTTGTTTTTTTATTATTATGTAAATTTACTAATATTTTTGTTGTGTGTAACTTATAAATATTGTTATTGCTTAAGATCTCTTTCACTTTTTCGTTCAAATTTATGAAAGTATTCAATAGAGATCAAAATCAAAATAATATATTAGATTTATATCAGGAGAAACTTTTTTGTGACATAGTAATCCATTGGAAAAATGAAGAATACTATGCTCATCGATTAATTTTACAAAATTATTCTTCGTATTTCGCATCAATCTTTGAAAAATACAAAGACACGACAGATATTCCAAGAGTTGATCATGTAACAATCGAAATTAATCCTCAAAATATGTTTTCAAAAGTTATTGACATTTTATATAGTAAACCAGTTCAAATCACTGTAACAAATGTAGTTTCTATATATAAAATTTGCTGTTACTACGGAATTTATTCATTTATCGAGAATATTAAAAATTTTATAACAAAATCTTTATCATCAAATACAGTTTTACATTATGTAACAGAATTCATTAGCTATGATATGATAGAAGAATCAAAAATTATTGTCCCATTTTTATCACAAACATTTCTTCAAATCATAAATTCAAAAACTCCACAGCAAGAAGCTGAATTAGAACAATTACTTAAATGCGTATCGAATGGTATTTTATTTTCTTACGTTATTATGGCTGATCCACTTAATTCTGCTTTGTCAGAATATGATAAGTTTTGTTTAGTTGATAAATACTCAAAAATCAAGCGATTTTCTGAAGCAGAATCTATTGAACTCGCTTCTCTTTTCAATTGGGAAGATCCAAATTCATTGAATTATTTTGTTGAATTTTCCTGCGATTGGCTACCTTTGAACATTTCTAGAAAATGCTATAGTACTTTATTATCCAGAAGAAAGAATATCATTAAAGTATTTGAATCAATTTCAGAAAATGTCAAAGAGCAAGCATCAAGATTGCATTGCTTCCTTTGGGTTGATATTTGTTCTAAGGCTTCTATTGTTCCTGATCATCCTTCTATTAATATTTTAGATTTTATTTCTTCATTAGGAAATTCAAATGTAGAGTTTGATCCAATCAAATATTCTTACTTATTATGTAATGTACATCAAACAACATATGACATATTCCATCCAATCCAAAGTATTTTCAAAAATGATCAATCTTATGCGATAATTGAAAGTTGTGATGATCATCCTGCAAGTATATCACTATCATTTGGAAATCATACAGTTATTACTGCAAATTCATTTACAATTTCTTGTGATATTGAAAAGAATACAAGAAAACCAAACAATATCACTACAAAGCAATACTATACTGTTCCAAATCAGTTATTAGTCAAAACTTTCTTAAATGGCACAATTTCAAATGAATTTGAGATTTCTTCTGATCAAAACAAAATCTATCAACTTGAAAAAGTTCCAAATAGTTTTGATTCAATACTTGTTAGTATTCCTCCATCTTTAAGTGATATCTACAAAATTTTAAGAATTCGGAATATTTCAATTGTTGGAACTGTTGATACTCAATAATAGATACTAGCCATATGTCCGAGCCACCTGGATGCTAGTTTCCTTATATCTTGGATAATTAGAAAAAAATTAATTGTAATATCTCATAATGTTCACTTAAATAGTTATATCAAAAATCCACTCCATCATTTCGATTTTTAGGCCTTTCCGGACATCGCTGCATTATTTATTTTTATTCATTTTGTTTTGTTGTTTCTAAATAAATTATCTAAGTTGGACGAAAGGTGGACAATAGTATTGAATATTAAAAGGTGGCTATTTTTGAGAGAACTCATTGATTTCCTTTCAATAATGTCCACCTTGGAGCAAGCAGTTAGTGTAAAAATTGAATTATTGATGATTTTTTTCTTTTATTTGCCCTATTTTGGAATTATTGATGATGATTGATTCATTTATAAATTATATGGAACATATTTTGTAAAGTTGTAAAAAATTTGAAAAGTGACTAATGATTTTGATGTGAAAATGTTATTATGTCAAATATCATCAAGATTTCAGTACATATTTTGATGGAGTTTGTACACACGTGCGAAATGGTTCTTTTACAGATAGCAAAAACTACTGTGTTGAAGAATGTTTCTTTAAAAACCTTAATAATTGTGCAGTGTATTCATCAGGTGATTGTAATTTTCTATTTGAAGATAGTTCATTTATTAGTGTATCATCTCAGTCCGGTGCTGGGGGCGCCGTTTACACTTCAAAAGTAGAACATGTACACAACAGAATTTGTTCTATAAATTGTTCGACAACAAGTGCTGCACACTATTGCTTTAGTTGGTCATCTAAAGGATTAAACAAAAATTATATTATTGAAAGTTCCATATCAATGTCTTCAAAAAATCCTATTGGACACGAACCTTTAAGTTTTTATCGAGGAATTCAATACGAGTCTATATTAAAAAGTGACTTTTTTTAATACGACCTCTCAATTTATTATCACTTTTTCATCTTTTTTTATGTGATTTGTCTATATAATGTGGGATTGCGCATATGATCAGAACTCATTCTTGTGATGATCATATTATGCAATGGGCATACTATTAAAGTTATATAAAAATCAATATTAAGCATTTAGCAATATATTAATGTTTACTATAACAATTAAATTAGATATAATTAGGGGAATATATATATAAAATGGTAATGACTATAATTGAATTTTGATCAAGATGCTAATTTGAATTAGAATGAATATATCGAATACACATATTTTTATTATTATATATGCGTTATATTGTGTTATTGATGATTATTGTTCAGTAAATATAGTCAGATATCGGATATTTTGCAATTGAAATTAAATTATTAAATGATTAATAGATAAAAATAGGATTTGATGATAGACGTTAGATATATATTATGATATACTTAGAAATACATGTATTTGGATTCATAATGAAGGAAATTAAACATATTATATGTTTTTGATATGAAAAGAAGAGTTAGTAACGTATATAAATTAATATATGGTTACATATTATAGAATTAATATTCAAACTGATAGATAAATGATATTAAGAGTCAAAAATTCAAAGAAATCTTACTTTTTTGTATCATTCAAAATTGAATGTAATAAAATCATATTGAAAATAAATTAAGGATTTTCGCCATATTTTTGATATAATATATTATTGAACTCTTTATTGTATTTTTATTGCTTTCAATTTTGAGACAACTTTTGATAAAAAAAATCTTTTCAAAATTACTAGATATTTATTTTGTTATTCAAATAATGTTCGTTATAAAATTATTTTATAAAAGTTTGAAGGAGATTTCAAAAATTCATTCCTTATTTAATTTAGTGAGACCTTATGTTATTTAAATAAATCAACCGATAAATTTCCTAATAGGTGTCAAAAGATTAATTCACATCCAAGTCAAATTATGCTATAATGTATGTAGATGAGGACTGTCTTCAAGGCAGTCCTCATCTACCTACATTATATAACCATGTTTCCCATATTTTTATTTGAATGTGAATGTGTAATTCTCAATTCCAAGACTGAGTGCATGGTTGCAGCGGGTTACTATATGCTCTTGCATCCATGTAGTCAGATCTGGAAATTGGCTTACTTTTCCTTTCGATGCGAATGTGACTAATACTTTTCCAATTGCGCACATATAAGTGCAGGGTACATCACTTGTACCCTGCATTTATGTGTGAAGAACTGAAAAATGACGTACTTTTCATGAAGAATTTCACATCGTTATTTTATTTTGGAAAGGAGTTTAAATTTGTATGCTATTGTTCTATTACATTGCAAATGCAACTTCCTTTCATCAATAATTTCATTTTAATAAATTATAAATATCACATTTAGCATAAAATTCTCAAATAATACTCACTTTCTCATTTTGATCATAAATATTGATACTTTATAAATACAAAATTTTTTAATTCTTTATTTTTCCTATGAAATTTGTAGTTTTTTCTTTGAATTTCCGAATTTTCAATTTTTTTTGGAAATTTTTATTCAATTCGGCTCTATTTTATTCTATTCTTTATATATAATAATTTTATTCAAGTTTATTATTTAAAAATTTCAATACATACGATAATTTTTCATTCAATTTTTAAACGAATGTTTTGATGGGATGAGCTTACTGAGCATAAGCTCATCCCATCAAGATATTGCATCAAAACTCTGGCCTTCATCAAGGCCAGAGTTCATAATTCATCACCTCAGTGCCAAGTTCCTCGAAGGTCGTCCTCATTAGGATCGATCCGAGAGGAACTTGGCACTGAATGAAATTCACAAGCTCTGGTCTCAGAAAATGCCAGAGCTTCGCAAGCAATCCTCGGGGCTGGTTTCCTCAAAGACCGCCCTGATTCAGGGCGGCCGGAGAGGAATCCAGTCCCGAGAGAGCGTTTATAGGAAGCTCTGGCCTTTTTCTGAGACCAGAGCCTGCAAATACAATCCTCAGGGCCGAGTTTGAGGGAGATCGTCCGCATTTTTGACGATCCCCTCTCCTCTCGGCCCTGAAAGACCAATAGACAAAGGTTCTGGCCTCAACAGGAACCAGGGCCTCGCATACAATTCTCAGGGCCGGCTTTCTCAAATGCCGTCCTGATCTAGGGCGGCAGGAGAGAAGTCCGGCCCTGGAAAGCAGTAAATTCGAAGCTCTGGTCTCTGCAGAGGCCATGGCCTGCAAGTACAATCCTCAGGGTGTAGTTTCGACCTGATAGTCCCTCATGAGGACGACCAAGTTAAAACTCTGCCATGAAAGAAAGGAACATGCATGCTCTGGAGCCTTATGAGGCCAAGGCTTCCAATACAGTCCTAGAGGCCGAGTTTTCTGAGAATTTCCACATCACGGACAATTCTCAGCGGAATCCGGCCCTTGGGATCATTAAATACGAAGCTCTAGCCTTTCTTGATGCCAGAGTCTGCAAGGTTAATCCTCAGGGCTGAGTTTGAGGGAGATCACCATTATCAAGGACGGTCTCCTCTCTCTTCAGCCCTGAAACACCTACGGACACAGGATCTGGCTGTTGCTGAGGCCAAAGCTTCGCTTCCTAATCTCAGGGCCGTTTTTCTCAATTGCCGTCTTGTTCTTGGCGGCAGGAGAGGAATCCAGCCCTGGAATCGATAAATACGAATCTGTGGCCTCATTATAGACCAGGGCCTTCAATTTATTTTATATAATATTTTTTTTATTTAATATTTTTTTTCAATGATTTGTTTTTAAAGATTATTGATACAGTATTTTTTAATATTTAAGTAAAATAGCAAAATACCCTTTGAAAAACTATTGTCAGACAATATTATATAATCTCTATATTCATTCATAAAAAAATACGTCTAGTAATGCTCTGCATAAGTGGACAATAAAGTAATAAGATTGCTCTTTTATATAATAGAATGCAATTGCTCATTTATTAAGGATATATTTATAATCAATTGTGATCTATTTAAGAAAAATAAGAAAACAGCACCAAATTCATATAGATGCATCTGTATATTCTATATTTTATAGCCGCACTATTACAATTGTTGAAACTAAATCCTAATATCCTCCGCTCATTAATTGATGAAAAAGTGATAAAAATTTGAGAGGTCATATTAAAAAAAGTCACTTTTTAATATAGACTCAATTCAATACTTAACGAAAATAAATATTTCCTATTATAGAACGATTTCAACATGCGGATACTCTTTACAAGAGTCACAGTTAGATTCAAACTCTACTTATAATTCAATAATAAATAATACATCAACAGATGATTATTGTATTTATGATATTTTTTTTATCGTGTTAAAATAAATATATTTAAGTGTAACATAATTAATAACTCAGTAAAAGATAAAGTTATCAGTGTCCGTTCATGTTTTCAATTAAATATTGAAGAATGCAACATCATTGATAACTCTGGTGCTAATACTTTTGTCCTTGAAATGCCAGATGATAATGCAGAAGTAATTAAATGTTACCTTAGAAATAATAAAAAAGGATCAGGAAATGTAGTTTTTATAAAAAATTATAACGAAGAAATAAATTATGAACTAAAACATCTTTCAGAAGAACAATGTCTAACAAAAGATTTAGTTCTTAATAATAGTTATTCAATTTCAAGCCAATTTTATTTTTTTATTATTTTAATATTTTAATTTCAAATAAAGGATATATTATTACTTCCCTCAGAAATAAGTGAATATGAAATCTTCAATCAAACTTGAAGGAATATGTATTTTTCAACCTTGATAATCCTGTAAAGCTTTCAATTTCCACTATAGTTTTAACTAAGGGTTTCGTTTTGCTAAAATTGTCACTTTTATAGCATATTTGTTTTTGGATGTTTTGCGAAACCAAAAAAAACTATGATATACAATGTGTGTGTAAAGAAAATACTTTATTTACTAGTTAAAAAATCATTTGGTATTGATCAAGTTATTTTTTCTGGATAAGATATTATATGGATAATTGGATAGAAAATACAATTATATAATCTTGTACCTGGTTTAATTAAGCTAATTGTCATCAGAACCTTGTAATTTTTATGAATTTCAGATTTTCTTTTCATTACTGCTTTTCTTAATAGGTCAAGTTCTTATTTACGTTATAAAGTATGATATTTACAAATATCAAGTTATCATGTTTTTTGAGAAATTATGAGAAACAAACAAAAATGAAAAAGATAGGAATAGCAATAAATAGTGATGTGGGTATAGAAAATGTAAGAGATATGAATGCAAAGCAATCAGTATTTAGGATATTGACCATAGATTTCGAAAAAAAAATGCTGCATATTGAGCGAAAACTATGATTATATTATAAGGCTGTCATTTAAAGCATAATGAAACTATTCCCTTTTCATTTTAATCGAATAAGATAGTAAAGATTTTTGAATTAGCTAGAAACTGATGAGATGTTTTCACAAATCAGATTTCTAATCTCTATAATGCATAATTCACTCAATATCTCAATTTTGATATTGCGAGATATTTTTGCTATCGGTTTCGCAATTTTGACACAATAGCAAGAGGGTTCTATAAGCATTATTATCAACGTAGAATCTGAATATCATATCAGAAAATGTCGCAAATCTGACATTTACCCGACAAAATAGCAAAAATAATTGAATACTTTTCGCAAAAACTTTAAAAATCGATAAAAATATGAAATATAGATATTAAAGAGACTTTTTATATAATATTCATAAAGATTTTCCAAAAATATGATACCACAAAATTAAAAAAGTGACGTCTTGAGTGGAGTCAAAGGTCGAAATTGCTAGCTAAATGTTTTTTTAGCGAAATTGCGTATTGTACGTTTTTTTCGCAAAACGAAACCCTTATTTTAACTTTCTTTTATCCATCAATATCGAATTTTGATGTTTGTCAGAAATTTTTGTAAATTTCCGTTTGAAAATTACTAATTCAGATGAATGTTGCTAATTCTATAGCAGATGCTGAAGAATTAGTCAACTTCGCTGAATTAGAACAAAGTTTTAGTCGTGTTGTTCAAGATATGGTAAATGATAAATCATTAGAAAAGTTTCGAATAGAATATGAAAAACTTCACGAAGCTTTAATTGCATCTCACGAACATAATAAGATTCTAGTAGCAAAATGCAATGAACTTAATGATGATATTTTGAAAAATGCTAAACAAATTACAAATATAATATCATTAACACAGGCAGATCAACGAACAATCAATACACTAAGACAAGAATTCGAGAAAGCATGGGTAATTGTCGAAGAATCTACAAATAAAGAACAACAAGCTCGTAGAATTATTAATAATTTAAAAGAAGAAGTTGATAATCTTTCAAATCTAATTGCGAAAAGCGGAAACATACATGATGATCCAGAAATCTCAATGCAAGATGTCGAAAAAGAGATCAATGAAATTAAAACAGAAATTAATACAAATAGAGACTTAATTTCTCAAATTACAGACGACATATCAACATCACGAACAAAATTTTACGAAATAAAAGATGAAATAAAGAAAATTAAGCCTCAAATCGAGATTGACGAACAAGATATACAAGATACTCTCAGAAACATCGAATCTATACACGGAGAAAGTGTCGAAGTACATAACAAAGTGGGTGATATACAAATAGAAATTACAAAATCAAACTTATCTTCAAATGAAATAAATGATCAGTATAATAGCAAAAAAGAAGACTTAAAAGAACTTAACAGACGCTTAGAAAACGTTAAAAACTCAATGGCCATATATATTGATGAACGTGCAAGTATAGATGCCGTTGTAAATCAATTAAAAATTAATTTACACGAAGCACAGACTCAAACCAAATATTATGAACGACAATTCAATGATAAAAATGCCAAATATAATGATATAGTTGAAAACAGTAAGGATTTACCGCAAAAAATCGTTGAATTAGATTCAGAAGCAAAAGATTTGATACTAGATCAAGCTGAAATAAAGAAATACAAAGAGAAACTTACAGAAGCAAAGCTGGACTATCGCATGTGCCTTGCAAAGAACAGAGATATGACTTTGGACGCGAAAAGAGAAATTAATGGGGAAATTCTTGATGCGAGAAGATACAGATTGAAAGCGGATACAGTTGAAAAACAAACTCGAGAGATCGAAAAATCCATTGCAAATGAAGTTTCTGAAAGTCAACATCAAGTATTACAACAAGATTCAGCAAAAAAAGACATAAATAACCAGAAACTAACAATAAATGAGTTACTAAAAATTATTGAACAGATAAGAGAAGAAATTCGATCAAGTATTGATGAATCTCGAGAATCAAATAACAATCTTCAGCAACAAGAAGCAAAAATAGAAGCTACTAAGAAGAAAATAGATGAAGCGAACATAAAACTGAACGAAATCCAGTTAAACATCAAGAAAGTCTCTCAATCAAGAGATATAATGAGAAATGAAAGAGATTTTGTAGGCCAAAAATTGAAAATTGAAAGAAGCCAAACAGATGGAATCAAAAAATCATATGAGACAAGCAAAAGACAGACTGAAAGCCTCAAGGATGAAATAATGACACTCGATGAACAAGGTGTACGTGAGCACTTGGAATTACTCCATTTCGAGAACGAATTGGAAGAATTAGAAAAAGTAAATGAAAAAACAAGAAATGACACTTTTTTGAAACATTCTGAAGCAAAAGTCATGGAGAAAAACGTGTTAAATCATAGACATATTCTCCAAGAAGCAGAAGTAGACATAGAGAGTATGAAAAGGAACATATCAAATGTTCAACAATCGATTTCTTTGATACAAAATACAATTGCAGAAAAATTGGTTGAAAAAAGAAATCAAAATTCAAGTATTATAGCAATGAACAATATTCTAAATCAAAATGTTCATTCCTTTGATTCATTAGTTGCTAAAATCCTTGAAAGTAAGGAAATATTAAGTAGAGAGCTAGAAAGACAAAATTTACTAAAAAGAAAAGTTGAAATTATGAAAGCTTTGAAAAGTGAAGTGACCAGATTAGAAAAAGAATTAGTTACAGCGGAGAGTTATGAAGCAGCAATAGTCGAAGAACTTCAAACACCTATTACTATACCCAAATGGATATTCCTTGATGCAACAAACCCTGAATTAGCATCATTAATGAGAATGAAATTGACACTTTTAAATGAAATTGCTGATAAAATGGATCTACAAGCAAAACTTAAAATAAAACGTCAACAGTTAGACGATAAACTAGAAAAGGAAACTAAAAAGATTGTTAAAATAAGAGGAACGGTTTTTGAAGAAGAATATAGTTTATTACAAAACGAACTTAAAAGGAAAAACAGAGAACTATCAATTATGCAGAAAAGATTCGAGAAAACATCAGTAGATGTAAATGAAAGGTTCGAAGAAATAGAAAGTGCAAGATCTGAACTGAGACAAGAAAGAAATGAATACCAGGTACTGAAACAAAGAACAATGTCTGCAAGACAATCCATTTCTAACAATGGAAAAGAAGAAAGAATGTCAAAAGGAAAATTTAAATTTAATGAAAGAGTAAAAGGAAGAGATTTGATGTATGTTGGTGGTGGATTTGCTTATGGTAGAACACAGAATGTTCCTCTTATACAGCCACAAGCAAAGAAAGAAAAATTCCTGCCAACAATCAATTTACAAGATAAAGATGACTTAAGAAGAAAACGAGCATCGAAGTGCAGTGAACCGATATCAAATAGGAATTCAACAACAGAGGAATTTAATGTTAGACCTCCTTCAGGAAGAACAAAGAAATCAAAGAATCCAAGAAGTTCGAGAAGAAGAATGAAAAAGCCAGATGATGAAACATATTAATCTTAATATATATTGTTTGTAAATTAAATATGTTATGTATGTTATTTTATTATTTTTTTATTTAAGAAATTTCAATAAATATAAGGGTTTATTCTTGGAGTTTTTATATCCTCCAAAAACTATTTCGTTTGGATAATCCTAAATCTTAAATTTCTTAAAAAATAAAAAAAAAAATATTTGTTTAAATGAATTCCCTAAATTTCTTTTAGTTTAGTGTTTACCGTGTGTAGATGCAAGCTTTGCCTTGCATGTTTTAACAAATTGGGCGTAATTCTCGGTGTATTCTTGGGCAGCTTTAATATTAATTGGGGATGCGTTGTTTGGATTCTTGAGAATATCAGCTGCTGTCTGGATAATTTCGAAGATGTGCATCTGTGTCTTGTAGTCTTCACCCCAGCAGAAATTGCCAATTAGTTTCTCATCATCGACGTTTGGATGGTAGATTGATGGTGAGAATTTAATAGATGGCTTCTCGAATGGATACTTGGCCGGTAACTCAACTTCAAGAAAGGGTTTGTAGCCTTCATAAGCTGTTCCCGCTGGACCCGGAAGAGTAACTTTCCATTTGTTGATGTTGTTGTCAATAAACTCTGCTGTAGCAGAGCCTGGGCTCTTTTCATTTAATAACTTGAACTCCATCTGGATTCTTTTAGCCATGGGAGAAAAAATTGAATAATCGTTGGCAATTTTTTAATCGAACACTTAATTTCTATTTTTTATTTTTGACGTGTAAATATTTCAACCTTCTCATTTTTTGAGAGAAGGACGTAAGTAATAATAAACCAATAAGAATTCTTTATTTTTTGAGTCCTAGGTTATCTTTGTTAAGAAGAGCTTGCATTGTTACTAAATTTAAGAAATTAGCTATTTTTTGATGGGCAGTTGCAAACAGTGTTGAGTATAATTTAATGCTGTTAATTGTAAGTCCCCGCATGAGCAAAGTATTTTGTATATTTCATAACATCCCCAAGCTTCATGCTTCTTTGTTAATGGGGCTGGAAATATTGCACAATTATGGATTATATATCTTTTTGTTTCAGAGTTATAAAGTATCGAGATATTTAATAAGTAATCTGTAATAAAAACCCGATATGTCTCATATGATTTTCCAAGATTCTGAACTATTCAGGGTTAAAGACAGAGTTTGAGTGTGGAATAATTGTATGAACAATTGTATAATGATGAGTAAAGCTAAAGTTGTCCACTTAAAAATTTGGCGACTATTTTTTTTTGTCAGAAAATTCGGTTAAAAAGTGACAAATTTTTCGATGTCAGTATCTGGGCAGCCAGCAATTAAAGACGAAATGTCTTTTAGTGATATCAAACCTATTAAACTATTCGAGTATCTGTCCCAAGTTTCAAAAATAATATGGGACGTTAATTCCAATAATATTTTACAATCATCATCGCAAATCATTGATTTAATCAAAACTAACAAAATATCCGGCCAAACAGCACTCCGAATCATTGATACTTTTTCAACTATGCTTGTTAAAAAAATTGGATTATTTGCTGAACTTTACAAAAATATTACAGACCAATTTTCATATAATATGAAACCAAATAGTTTATTATATCGATTATTAGATCGTGAAGTCAAATCTTGGGAGACTGAACAAATTCTCAACGTTTATCCAAAAGAATCTCCTTTATACTACATTGCATGGGACAAAGTTGATGATCTTAAAAGTAAATTCCCAAATCTTGATGTTAATATGGAATCACGTCACGAATTAACTCCACTTGATTGCGCAATTAGATTCGGATCTGAGCTTTGTTTCGTTTATTTGAAGAATAAAGGAGCCAAATATACAAAATATTCTGAAAAATATGCTGTTCAAGGCGGAAATCAAAATATCTTTATGCAAATGATTGAAGATGGTAAATCATTTGATCACATGATCAGTTCGAGAAATGCATCACTAAATATTTGAGCTTGTGCACTATAATGCTATATAATAGTCTTCACTGTTTTTAATATATTGACTTTGCTAGACTTGATTTTTTTTCATCACCCGAATGAGTGCCCAGCCTTAATTATATTCTTTTTCTTTTCATATTCATTATTATTTTACAAAATTCGCTATATATTAATATGCAAATTCTATCAATTGCAAACGAATTTGGATCAGCTGAAATTATTAATTACTTAGTTGATCATGGTGCAATTATTGACAAAATACTTTTTCCAATTCTTTTCATATTCATCAATGTTTTATGAAATTTTATTTCTTCTCATATCCTTCATTGTTTTATAAAATTCTATTTATTTTCATATTCATTATTGTATTATAAGGCTTTTGCTCCTCGTTGTTTTATTACATTCTATTTATTTTCATATTCATTATTGTTTTATTACATTCTATTTATTTTCATATTCATTATTGTTTTATGGCATTCTATTTATTTTCATATTCATTATTTTATGAAGCTTTTGTTCCTCGTTGTTTTATGAAATTCTATTTCTTTTCATATTCCTCGTTGTTTTATGAAATTCTATTTCTTTTCATATTCCTCGCTGTTTTATGAAATTCTATTTCTTTTCATATTCCTCGCTGTTTTATGAAATTCTATTTCTTTTCATATTCCTCGTTGTTTTATGAAATTCTATTTCTTTTCATATTCCTCGCTGTTTTATGAAATTCTATTTCTTTTCATATTCTTCGTTGTTTTATGAAACTCATATTCCTCGCTGTTTTATGAAATTCTATTTCTTTTCATATTCTTCGTTGTTTTATGAAATTCTATTTCTTTTCATATTCCTCGCTGTTTTATGAAATTCTATTTCTTTTCATATTCTTCGTTGTTTTATGAAACTGATATTCCTCGTTGTTTTACAAAATTCTATTTCTTTTCATATTCCTCGCTGTTTTATGAAATTCTATTTCTTTTCATATTCTTCGTTGTTTTATGAAACTCATATTCCTCGTTGTTTTACAAAATTCTATTTCTTTTCATATTCTTCGTTGTTTTATGAAATTCTATTTCTTTTCATATTCCTCGCTGTTTTATGAAATTCTATTTCTTTTCATATTCTTCGTTGTTTTATGAAACTCATATTCCTCGCTGTTTTATGAAATTCTATTTCTTTTCATATTCATCGTTGTTTTATGAAATTCTATTTCTTTTCATATTCCTCGTTGTTTTACGAAATTCTATTTCTTTTCATATTCCTCGCTGTTTTATGAAATTCTATTTCTTTTCATATTCTTCGTTGTTTTATGAAACTCATATTCCTCGTTGTTTTACAAAATTCTATTTCTTTTCATATTCATCGCTGTTTTATGAAATTCTATTTCTTTTCATATTCCTCGCTGTTTTATGAAATTCTATTTCTTTTCATATTCTTCGTTGTTTTATGAAACTCATATTCCTCGCTGTTTTATGAAATTCTATTTCTTTTCATATTCCTCGCTGTTTTATGAAATTCTATTTCTTTTCATATTCTTCGTTGTTTTATGAAACTCATATTCCTCGCTGTTTTATGAAATTCTATTTCTTTTCATATTCCTCGCTGTTTTATGAAATTCTATTTCTTTTCATATTCTTCGTTGTTTTATGAAACTCATATTCCTCGCTGTTTTACGAAATTCTATTTCTTTTCATATTCTTCGTTGTTTTATGAAATTCTATTTCTTTTCATATTCCTCGCTGTTTTATGAAATTCTATTTCTTTTCATATTCTTCGTTGTTTTATGAAACTCATATTCCTCGTTGTTTTATGAAATTCTATTTCTTTTCATATTCCTCGCTGTTTTATGAAATTCTATTTCTTTTCATATTCTTCGTTGTTTTATGAAACTCATATTCCTCGTTGTTTTACAAAATTCTATTTCTTTTCATATTCCTCGTTGTTTTACGAAATTCTATTTCTTTTCATATTCCTCGCTGTTTTATGAAATTCTATTTCTTTTCATATTCTTCGTTGTTTTATGAAACTCATATTCCTCGTTGTTTTACAAAATTCTATTTCTTTTCATATTCCTCGCTGTTTTATGAAATTCTATTTCTTTTCATATTCTTCGTTGTTTTATGAAATTCTATTTCTTTTCATATTCATCGCTGTTTTATGAAATTCTATTTCTTTTCATATTCCTCGCTGTTTTATGAAATTCTATTTCTTTTCATATTCTTCGTTGTTTTATGAAACTCATATTCCTCGCTGTTTTATGAAATTCTATTTCTTTTCATATTCCTCGCTGTTTTATGAAATTCTATTTCTTTTCATATTCTTCGTTGTTTTATGAAACTCATATTCCTCGCTGTTTTATGAAATTCTATTTCTTTTCATATTCTTCGTTGTTTTATGAAACTCATATTCCTCGCTGTTTTATGAAATTCTATTTCTTTTCATATTCTTCGTTGTTTTATGAAACTCATATTCCTCGCTGTTTTATGAAATTCTATTTCTTTTCATATTCCTCGTTGTTTTACGAAATTCTATTTCTTTTCATATTCCTCGCTGTTTTATGAAATTCTATTTCTTTTCATATTCTTCGTTGTTTTATGAAACTCATATTCCTCGTTGTTTTATGAAATTCTATTTCTTTTCATATTCTTCGTTGTTTTATGAAACTCATATTCCTCGTTGTTTTACAAAATTCTATTTCTTTTCATATTCTTCGTTGTTTTATGAAATTCTATTTCTTTTCATATTCCTCGCTGTTTTATGAAATTCTATTTCTTTTCATATTCTTCGTTGTTTTATGAAATTCTATTTCTTTTCATATTCTTCGTTGTTTTATGAAACTCATATTCCTCGCTGTTTTATGAAATTCTATTTCTTTTCATATTCCTCGTTGTTTTATGAAATTCTATTTCTTTTCATATTCATCGTTGTTTTACGAAATTCTATTTCTTTTCATATTCCTCGCTGTTTTATGAAATTCTATTTCTTTTCATATTCTTCGTTGTTTTATGAAACTCATATTCCTCGTTGTTTTATGAAATTCTATTTCTTTTCATATTCTTCGTTGTTTTATGAAACTCATATTCCTCGCTGTTTTATGAAATTCTATTTCTTTTCATATTCCTCGTTGTTTTATGAAACTCATATTCCTCGCTGTTTTATGAAATTCTATTTCTTTTCATATTCCTCGTTGTTTTATGAAATTCTATTTCTTTTCATATTCTTCGTTGTTTTATGAAACTCATATTCCTCGTTGTTTTATGAAATTCTATTTCTTTTCATATTCTTCGTTGTTTTATGAAACTCATATTCCTCGTTGTTTTATGAAATTCTATTTCTTTTCATATTCTTCGTTGTTTTATGAAACTCATATTCCTCGCTGTTTTATGAAATTCTATTTCTTTTCATATTCCTCGTTGTTTTATGAAATTCTATTTCTTTTCATATTCATCGTTGTTTTACGAAATTCTATTTCTTTTCATATTCCTCGCTGTTTTATGAAATTCTATTTCTTTTCATATTCTTCGTTGTTTTATGAAACTCATATTCCTCGCTGTTTTATGAAATTCTATTTCTTTTCATATTCTTCGTTGTTTTATGAAACTCATATTCCTCGCTGTTTTATGAAATTCTATTTCTTTTCATATTCCTCGTTGTTTTACAAAATTCTATTTCTTTTCATATTCATCGCTGTTTTATGAAATTCTATTTCTTTTCATATTCCTCGCTGTTTTATGAAATTCTATTTCTTTTCATATTCTTCGTTGTTTTATGAAACTCATATTCCTCGTTGTTTTACAAAATTCTATTTCTTTTCATATTCTTCGTTGTTTTATGAAATTCTATTTCTTTTCATATTCCTCGCTGTTTTATGAAATTCTATTTCTTTTCATATTCTTCGTTGTTTTATGAAACTCATATTCCTCGTTGTTTTACAAAATTCTATTTCTTTTCATATTCTTCGTTGTTTTATGAAATTCTATTTCTTTTCATATTCCTCGCTGTTTTATGAAATTCTATTTCTTTTCATATTCTTCGTTGTTTTATGAAACTCATATTCCTCGCTGTTTTATGAAATTCTATTTCTTTTCATATTCCTCGTTGTTTTATGAAATTCTATTTCTTTTCATATTCTTCGTTGTTTTATGAAACTCATATTCCTCGCTGTTTTATGAAATTCTATTTCTTTTCATATTCATCGTTGTTTTATGAAACTCATATTCCTCGCTGTTTTATGAAATTCTATTTCTTTTCATATTCCTCGCTGTTTTTGAAATTCTATTTCTTTTCATATTCCTCGCTGTTTTATGAAATTCTATTTCTTTTCATATTCTTCGTTGTTTTATGAAACTCATATTCCTCGCTGTTTTATGAAATTCTATTTCTTTTCATATTCCTCGCTGTTTTATGAAATTCTATTTCTTTTCATATTCTTCGTTGTTTTATGAAACTCATATTCCTCGCTGTTTTATGAAATTCTATTTCTTTTCATATTCCTCGCTGTTTTATGAAATTCTATTTCTTTTCATATTCTTCGTTGTTTTATGAAATTCTATTTCTTTTCATATTCCTCGCTGTTTTATGAAATTCTATTTCTTTTCATATTCTTCGTTGTTTTATGAAACTCATATTCCTCGTTGTTTTATGAAATTCTATTTCTTTTCATATTCCTCGTTGTTTTACGAAATTCTATTTCTTTTCATATTCCTCGCTGTTTTATGAAATTCTATTTCTTTTCATATTCTTCGTTGTTTTATGAAACTCATATTCCTCGTTGTTTTATGAAATTCTATTTCTTTTCATATTCATCGCTGTTTTATGAAATTCTATTTCTTTTCATATTCCTCGCTGTTTTATGAAATTCTATTTCTTTTCATATTCTTCGTTGTTTTACGAAATTCTATTTCTTTTCATATTCCTCGCTGTTTTATGAAATTCTATTTCTTTTCATATTCTTCGTTGTTTTATGAAACTCATATTCCTCGCTGTTTTATGAAATTCTATTTCTTTTCATATTCCTCGCTG